AGTCCTTGGCCGTGGGAACTCAAAACGACAGAAGATTATTTCTTAAACTTTCTGATTTTCATCTTTTATTATTTCGAGGATTCTTCTCAACTGGTTACAACCTGAACGATGAAAAATATGAATTACATTACATCAAAGATTTGAACATAATTTTCCACTTGAAGTCAATCAAAGTAATCAACAAGCAAATGAAACTTAACTTGCTACGCTTTGCTGAAGCAATTGCTATCAGACGACTTAAAACAAATCTATGTACACAGAAAGAGACAGTGGTGAATCTTGCACTGCCCTGGTGACAACAAAAAAATATACAACAGCTTGTTTTTGTTTCTAAGCCTAACTGCCTAATTATTCTATAAATATTTATAAACTGTCAAATATTGATCACTGTTCATTTGAATTATTCTATAAATAGTCAGTGTTTGTAACTCTTAATTAGTTAAATCATTCCGGACTATTGTTACTTTTACTTCCTATCAATTACTCCTTGTGATCGTGGAAAACTATGTTCAAATCTTTAATGTAATGTGATTCATATTTTTCATCGTTGAGGTTGTAACCAGTTGAGAAAAATCCTCGAAAAAATAAAAGATGAGCTCATATTATCCTGGTACAATTGTTGTACTTGCTTTGTTCAAGTTTATTAATGGGAAGAATAGCATGAAGTTTCTGATTTTTCTTGACGCTTTAGTTCTCTGTATTCTTTTGTAGGCACTCGGTGCACAAAAAATTACACCGAAGGTGCATCCCTGTTGAGCATTTTCGGGTTGCCATTGGTTCGTCTCAGTAATTCTCCTAGGTAAGTTAGTTTTTACTGAATCTGGTTTGTTTACGACTGTGTGGGGTGGGGATTGCAGGTTTGAAAAAAGAAAATTCTGCAAAGTGTGAGATTTACCCGATGACTGTTTTACTGACATTTCCATGTTACCGTCTTATGTTAACTGAGGAAGCGTAAATACCTGACAAAGCTAACGAATGGGCAGGTTGTTGTTTTCATATATATGGAAAGGAATGATTGCTTCACCTGCAGGGAACCAAGAACCTGTAGCATCTGGCGGTTTCATCCAGTGCTGACAATGAAATCTCTGTTGGCTGAAGAACAACGTTAAATTACAAACTATTTGCTCTTGCCGCAATAACAAACAAGCTACTGAATTCGGACTTAGTCAGTTGGATTTGCACAAAAATACCAGCACAGAAATTCTTAACAGACGTGTCTACACTTACTTCGAAAATGACACCATTCGAGATAGTCGAAATTTTGCTTATTTCGCCAATTGTACAGATGGTGAGAAGGTGTATTGTATTGGACGAGGCTTATTGTTTTGTTTATATTTAAGGCTGAGATGTTAAATAGCTATGTGGATCCTCTCTTGTACTCTCTTTGATGCGAGACTAATTGTAAAATTTGTAGCATACAAGGCTTCTATGCAGACAAAGTTCACACCTGTGGTGTGGGTTATATGCTTCGAACTACTTCTAAATACACTAATCACATTTGAACACTAGTGTTTCTGTCAGAAGACGGACTGCTAACACATAATACATTAAATATTGCTAAAATTTAGCACTCTGCTCTAATGTAATGGAGACCGCTATTCAATAGCTAAAGGCTTCATTTGGCTTAGTGGTGTCTCTGTAACAAAAGCCATTAGAACTACTTCGCAAAGTAAACTAGTTTGTGAAATAAATTCGTGAATCTAAAGACGATTGCTTTTATTTGGTGTCATGCATGAATGAATGAGTAATTCAAGTTCTAGACACCACACACACACACATTCACCTTTGACTTTCAGTGGTAGTCAAATCTGGCTTAAAAGCATAGTCGTTATCTTACATCCTTACCTTACATCCTTTCTCCCACAAATCCCAAACTTTCTAGTGTTACAAGTGTTAATGAAACCTGCTTCCCTGGTTTTAATACAAATGATGTTCAAAAATGTCTCCTGTCTCTGAACCCCCTTCTTGTAGCCTGGGTCCAGACGGTTTGCCTAGTGTTATTCTTAAAAAGTGTGCTGATATCCTGTGTTATCCTCTCATGGATATATTTAACGAATCTTTTTCCAATAATGTCGTGCCAGCCGTTTGGAAGGACATTAAAATTGTGCCTATACCTAAGTCTTCTACTGGAACTTGTTTTAAATTTAGACCCATTGCTATTACTTCCCCTTTTCTAAAAGCTATGGAAAAGTTACTCCTAATTAATCTTCAACCTTCACTTAAAGCCTTTAACGATCCTAAAAAATTCGCCTATAAACACAATAGAAGTACTTTAGATGCAGCTGCAGTCCTGTATCATAACATTGTCTCCAGCTTAGACAAGGGGGCTAAACTCGGTTCTACTCCACACTACCAAAGAGAAAATCTTCGTTATTCTATAGAAGTTTATAAGATTCTCTTATATTCTCGTATTCATGTTTGTATATCATTCAGTCATACAAGCTGTTTAGAAAACAAAATGAAAATCAGTTGTTGTATATTGGAACGGTCTTTTACTTGGAAGAGTAGCAAAGGCTGTCGCCTAATTATTTGTTCAATATCGTTTCATTATCAGTGACTTTTCTCTGCTGCCGCTGATGCCACTGTCTTTCATAAATAATATTTAGGAAGGCCTAAAATTTAAGGTGAATAGACATATGTGCAAGACGCAGGTACAATGATATGACTTAACAGATTGTTTTCGCTTATTTACTCTAATCATACCTGAGCATTCACACACACAAAAAACTTGGAGGATCCGGACTTCGCCGATGATATATGTCTGGTTTCCCACAAACTGGAAGACATGCAAGCGAAAAGCAACAAGTTAGCAGCAGAAGCATCAAAGATAGGACTTCAGGTGAACATAGATAGAACAGAGGTGATGAAAATTCCTGGGCAACACCACCAACAGCAACAACAACAACTGACAACAATCAGCATATAAATGGGAGGAACCTGAAAGAAACAACCTCTTTTACCTACCAACCTGGGAAGCATCGTTTCAACTACAGGCAGATGGAACTGACGAGGACATCAAAGCAAGAATCGGGAAAGCAAGACAAGCTTTCACTACTCTCAAGTCTGTTTGGAGGTCAACACCACTCAGCATGAAAAATAAGATCCCGATTTTCAACTTTAATGTGAAGTCAGTGCTACTATACGGATCAGAGACTTGGTGTGTCATAAAAAGCATCTCAAACAAACTACAGACCTTCATTAACAGTTGTCTTCGCTCAATACTCAAGATCAGATGGCCAGAAAAGATCAGCAAAAGAGATCTCTGGCAATGAGCGAACCAACCAGGAACCGATTGTGAAACAAATATGCAGGAAGAAATGGAGATGGATTGGCCATACTCTGAGGAAACCATCAAGTGACATCAATAGACAAGCCATTGCTCGAGTGGAACCCGGCCGAATAGGAAGCGGCGAGTTGGTCGTCAGTGCAAGGGTGACTTGGAGGAGGTCATGTGAAGAGGAGATGAAAACGTGTGGGCGGACTTGGAGCCAGGTGAAGACTCTAGCAGAGAACAGAACGCAATGGAGACGCGCGGCTGAAGCCCTATGTTCCTGTAGGAACTAAAGGATACAATTATAATAATAATACTTGAGCATTCAGTGAACATAATGCAGATATTACATCAGAAGGTAATCGAGGTCTTTATAAAAGCCACACTCTTGCTCAAGTTATTTACAAACACAAATATATCAAGGGAACTTTATGAATCTCTTGTTTCACTACTGGACGAAGTGCTTTAAAGAGCCCTCTGAGATAAACTGTTAAGTCGAATGGTAGGCAATTTTCGTTCTTTTTTAAAATATCCTCAATTCACATGTCTCCCTAGCCTCTGCCAGATAAGTGCTTTCCATCCTATCTTTACTGATGACTGAGGTGTGCTTACAAAAGTAACAAGGCGCGAATGCAACTCCTTAAGGTGCACTGTTTATATACCTGCAGCCAAACATCCATTTTTTTTAATATTAAAAGGGATGAAGAATAGGCAATAAACAATGGTCATATGGTGAACTGTAATCACAACTGCAAACATCCTCCTTATGACAAGCATATATTTTCATCTGTGGGATTTCTATTCTCACCACCCCGTTTGGTTTTCATTATTAGCGAAATATAACCTAAATTCGTTTCATTTCACTCATGACAGGTATATATTTTCATCTGTAGCATATACATTATCCATATCTTATATGTTCTTATATAATTTGTGTTTTAAACAATGGGCTAGTCATAAGTGAACTATTATCAAATATTCTTATATGTGAATCATGACAGCTGTATTCTGCTGACTGTTTATTGTGCATTAAACATACTCTAATGTTCCCTTATAATTTTTTTCATATGTGACCTCATCTCAACTGAACCATAATTGAATTCTATGACGCTTCATTAACGAAATATATTGTTCATAGCTGGCAGAATACATATTAAAAACGACTGCTCTGGTTGTGAAAATGTTTTAGTTATCATATGTGACCTATTCTCAACCGAAGTGTCATCACATTTAAGGGATAGGATAGGCAAGATGAGATCATCGTGATGATAGCTCAGTTATGACCACGCTTTCCATCAGTGACAGTTATTTGTCATTCCCACCTACCGCCTTCTTCACTTAAGTTTTTGTAGTAGTCTTATTTACTATCACACCTCTGGTAACAGTCAATGTTAACCGGTCAGATCGACCAGTCACATCATGTGTAATTCTCTGACAAGTCTGTAGCCGTCACGCTATCTATTCTGTGTAAAACGTACACGTTTGCCGATTAGTAGGTCTTAATTTACTAACATCAAGCCGAATTACGTGATTGTTTCTTTTTTCCACTGGCCTTAGAGTGCGAGTCTTCAGTACTCACTGCACTGGTTAAGCGTGCAGTGCTTTTTCCAGCAATAAAGGCATTATTTCAGCTGCAAATCCCATTTTTAAGGTTTTGACGCATTATTTAAGCGCCCAGAGCTGTTTCTAAGAACAACCAGCGTTACTTCAGTACACAGTAAGTTCATTTCAGGTAGATAAAATATTCATTCATCATAAAAAGGCAAACGTTAGAATTGCTTTAGAATTGTTGTAAGCTTGGAGAAAAGATTATATGGAACACAGTAGTCTATATTTGAACTTTCAAACTTTATAATCCATTTCAATTGTAATTTTCTTTTCCAGTCAGCATGCTATTTAGCTTTGAAACAGTACTTTTGCATGTATTAATTTCAGTTAAAAGTGTATCGATATTTTCAAGAGTTTCCACGAGACTTGTTATCTTCTTTTTAACAAGTTCATCAACCTCATTTTCAAGTTGAAGAAATGTCGCTTCAAGCCCCTCGAAGAAAAATGATACCTAGAAAGAGATATTATTCATTTGCATTTTGTAGTACTTGTTCTTCTATGTATTGTTTACACTCAATTAACTGCCTTCTATATGAATCCCGACATCTCAGCATTCTTTCAATAGTCTCATTAGCCTCATCTTCTATAAATTTCCTGGCATTCTTAGCATGAACATCAAAACCGTCTGCCATCCTACTGCAGAAACCAATAAGCCGTTTGAAAAGCCGCTTCTTATCCAATACTCAATGTCCAATGCCATTTTTACTAGCTAGTGTAAACCAGTTTGATTTACTTGTACTCGCCTCTCGGTTGAAAGACGAGGGTTTTTGGTCTTCGGTAAACTTCTGCGCAGTTCGTCCCACCACTTGACTGTTGTAGTTTCGGTTGACTTGGAAAGGAGTAGCAGGGGAACAATGGTATTGTGAACCTCAAGAACTGGTTTTACCTACTTTTTCTACATTCTTGGAAAAGGCTCATGAGCGAGCGCAACTAACTGTCTATGCATAAAGTATATAGCCACATATGCCATTAAATTCTTTCAGACCTGAGCTCTAACCACACTGCCTTCTAACAGATTGAGAATTAAACATGAGTTTGGATCCTCTATATAAAAAAGAAATTGACTTAAAAAATTAACAAAACACAAACAACAAAAACAATAATGACTGCACAGATCTAAATTATGAAAATATACTGCTTTTGCACCTAACATCTACAAGCCTGCTCAGTTTCTTGTCAAGATGCTACTCCATGCGCCATACACAAGTTCGCCAGACATCCCACAGGTCACCATATCCAACAAGTTCTAATCCTTCAAGCCACTTCTCTATGAAATGTCACTTATATACTCCATGACAATCCTTCTATCTAGTCACTATTATACTCTATTTTATCTCAACTCCCTTGGCCTTTAATAAAGCTGAAATTTACTCTTTTCATTCACAGTCTTCTCTCGCATAAAGTTCGGTTGCTCTGATGATGAAAAAAGCATAACAACAACACCGATGTTTGAGAATAACTTTATTTTCATAGAAAACGTCATAGTTTTCCATGATGAGACCAATATGGTTAGCATCATACATCGCAAATGTGTATTATCATTTCAAGTACTACATAGCTTCTTCTTGTATTTATCTTTTAAATATACTTCCAATTATGTATTATTCATAACTGCATTCTATACCATTTTGCAGCTGCGCCAGATTTTCTTCACTTCCTGAAATAGCGTTCAAGCACGTGGGGGCACAGCACTCACTCAAATATATGTTGTTTATCCATTGGCCATAACTATCATCAAGAAATGGAACGAATTTTGGGTTGTCGCTCAACTTCGATGGTGAGCTTCGTGAAATATTTACAAATTAACATTTATAAGAATCTGTTCCGATTCCTTGTACTATAGTTCAAAAATTTGAACTTTTGAAAAACTGATCATCTATGCTAATTCACAATTGTAATTTGTAACATAATTGATCGTGCCTGTTAAGATGGCACGCATTTCAGGTAAACTCATACGTTTACACGAAATATATATTATTATTACTGTCCACGTCGTTTTAGCCCACAACAGAGTCCCATTTTGGTTTACTTCCGATGGATATATTGAACACCATCGCCGGCTACTCAGACGGTGAGTTTGAGACCACTACACATCACTCGTTTTCATACAAACCGTCGGGTTTACCTACACGAAGAGCTTCACATAGCTATACAAAACACATGTATGGCCACGCCGTGATGTTGACGACAGTTCTGATAACAGACCCATATTTCGTAGAGAACTTCCAAAGAAGAGAGACAAAGGCTTTCGATGAGTTAAAACATTGAAAATATGACGGCCGACTCCAAGGACAGAATTAGAAGTGTATTAATAGTCATTCAAAGTGCAGCGGTGGCTCAACTATAAATACTGCCTTCGATACATGCCACCGGAACGCCACTGCCGAGCCTTCCTAGGAAATTCGAGAAGGGTTGATGTCAGAGAGAAATAAAGCAAGCATGAGTTCTATCTCCCCTTCCATTCAGTCCATTGTTCATGGTTTTTCTTTCAGATTACATGATAGCTTCTCAGTCATTTGATGGCTTCGACAGAATAGTTTGCTGCAACACAAATTTGAATGGACTGATTAGGTCAATTGGAAGAGAAGTCTAGCCCTACGGGAATGTATCGCATTACAGTGCTGAGTACTTGCTTATTGTTTACCCTCGTGGGCAACGTGAAGTACCATATAGCAAGACAACAACTATTCTAGGAGAAATTTTGTGGTTCCCACAAAATGAATTGTAACTCGTTCGCTCACTGAGTTCATGAGGGCAACAGCATTTTGAAGTAGATGTTCGGTGTGAGAATCCACCAAAGGTGTGGAAACATTCCATCCCTTTAAGAAACAAATGCCAAAAAATCAATGAGATAAAGTTTGTTCACCACAACATGTTGGAAGTTGGATTACCCTTGTGGCGTTTATCTGAATGTGAACCAAGTTTCAGAACATAAGAATTTAGCTAAGGATAGATTGACTGATCCCACCCACGAAGATAAGTAATTTAGAATAAAAGCGAGCAATGGCACTTCATTAACACAAACACATTATAGGGTAGGATACAGACAAAATTCTAAAATGTAATGCAGGTAGATGGAGAGAGGGAGACGGACCACTGAACCCTTGTTCGTCGAGTCTACACCCGACACATAAAATAAAAGTGACTCAACACAAATACCAGAGATATGGAAGATATTATTGCTACCGGCCAAATTAGAGGATGATAAATAATGTTAAAATGTATTCAATTCACATTAGGGCATTCTGACAAGTTATTTATTTTACTGTAAGAGCATCTCATTTCCCATCTAACTGTATTTCATTTACAACACTAATATTACTAGCCTCGCCTAGTTAACTAGCTTGCCGGTTTTCTAGCCGCTCCCAAGCCCGGTTAAAGAGGGTGGGTTGGGCGTAGAGCTAGCAACCCTGCACTACTAAACCTATCAAGCCGCTAGGGAAACTTCAACACACAAACATAGTTTAAAAACACAAAATATTGCAGGAACGATCTTATTCCTTACTGGAATCGGAGATGCGAAACGACACAGCGGGCTGGTAAAAGACTTTGAGAAGCCAGTCAACCAGCCGACGTGTCTCCACCTTCTCGATGAAAGCAAGAATAAGAATGATGAAGTAGAACGTCCGTACAACGTACGAGACTGAGAAGACTGCCCTGGTAGCCAGAGAAATGAGGACATATGGCATAGAAGTGCTGGGTGTCTGCGAGAGCGGATGGAATGGATGTGGATTATGCAAACTGTCAATTGGAGAGTCAGTAATCTACTCTGGTCCGATCACTCAGACGACAACCACAGGCACAATGAGGCAGTGACTATAGTGATGTCACCAGTGGCAGCCAGAGCCCCAATGCAGTGGGAACCGATTTCACCCATTCAGTGCTACGCACAACGCTACAAACATGGCGGAACAAGAGAAGAAGGAAGATTTTCGCAGACAACTGCAAACAGTATCGGACAACATCCCAAATGGTGACATCAAAACCCCCATAGACGATGTGAATGCCACAGGAAAAAAACTCACTATGGGTCGAGAGGCCTTCGCTCGAATAAATCAATGAGAACGGAGAAATGTTAGCAGACTTCTGCGCTTTCAGTAATTTGGTGATCAAAGGCAGCTTGCGCAAGCACAAATATATACGCAAAGTAACATGGATTTCGCCTGATGGACACACCGCAAACCAGACATATTTCATCTCAATGTTGCTAAAGGAAGTGGAGACGCAGCCTGCTGTGCACAAATTCGAGAAGGGGAGCAGATGTGAGCTCACTCAGACCATCATCCAGTTCAAGGAACCTTCTAGGGGAAGTTGAAATCCCTCAGAACAACTAGAGGCGGGCAGCTGTAATCCAAGTTCAACGTTCAGAAACTGAAGGACAAAGCTACAAGGGGTACCTTTATTACAGATCAGATCAGAGAAAAGTCGGATACACTACGTGGCATCACCGAGGAAACCTGCGTGGAAGCATATTGGGACAAACTCTCTGAAGGCGGTGTTCAAGGAAACGTGTACATTTGTTCTAGGGAGAAAGATGAGACACGAAAACGAATGGTCCTCAACGGATACCTAGGAGCTAATCGAGGAGAGGAGGATGGTGAAAGAGATGACTGAATGCGAAGATGGACGAGAGAGGGGGAAGCTGAGTTTAGTGTAGACTGTAATGAAACAAGAAAGGCGTGAAGAGTGCTAGGAAAGAAACGATGCAGCGACACAAGGACTTCATCCAAATGGCCTATCCCCTTAAAATCGCATACACCATTCAAAGGTAGACAATTAAACTGGTCGTTTTACAGCTTTAACTACACCTATTATTATTATTATCATTATTACTGGTATATATATATACCGGTTGACTGACTTTTGTTACGTTTTCTTATTCTTTTTCTGTCTGTTAGTCTGAATACCTTCACTAATTATATCTATTATTATTATAATTAATATCTCTTTTCTATTGACGACGATATCGAAGGACCAACTGGTAAAAGGATCAACTCCATTCACAGTAGTAACAGTCTTAAAACACCTCATACTACAAACCACATATAATTAATCCATGCACTACTCCTTTTGGAGGCAACCAAAGCTACGCAGTGAAGTGGCGGGACGAGCTACGCAGAAGTTTACCGAAGATCAGGAACATCTACCTCACAATCAAGAGGCGAGCACAAAGAAATCAAATTGGTTTATACTAGCTCGTAAAAACGATATTGGATATTGGAGACAATTTCGTGACACATTGGCGACTGAAGCAGAACAAGCCTGTGGCAAGTCAGATATCAGGACATTGTGTCAGATAATCAGGCCTGTATCCGAAAAGTATCAACGCAGATGATGCTCAAGGAAACCAGATTACCAAAAGAAAAAAGAAAACAGTGATCTGATCCCTTCAGACGACTCTTGAATCGACCATCAGCTGCAACTCGCCGAGAAATATCACCAACAGCACGCTGCCAGTGGACACCAATCTTCCAACGATATCAGAAATCCTAAATGCAATCAAGCTTTTGAAGTCCGGAAAGGCAGCAGGACCGGACGGAATTCCCCCCACCCTGAAGCACTGAAGACGACACACTGACTACGGCAGATGTTCTCACGCCATTATTACAAAAGATTTGGACGGAAGGAGAGGTACCCGCCGACTGGAAGAAAGGCTACCTTGTCAAGCTGCAAA